TGAGACCGGCATATTCTTGGCGCCTTGCGGCTGCCGAGGGACACTCAGATGGGTGCACAAGGCGTGTCTGGGCGGATGGGTGTGCGCTCCGGGGAGGAGGAAGGCACTGTGTGACGTCTGCCGGACGTGAGTTGGTACACAGAGGTATCTGTGATTGATGTGCATTGGTTACCCGGCGTGTGTTGGTTCAGGCGTTATGACGTTGGTCCGCGCGGCCCTTTTCGTCTGCCTGTCGGCCTCATCCCAGACGCCATCATGTCTGTCTCATACAATTTATTGGGTTGTTTGCCGCTATTGGTAGGAGTCCCCTTTAGCTGCGACGATGACACCAACATACTAGGCAGAGGGTTCCCTCTCCACCGAGTTATCTCCACGGCCATCTTGGTCGGCCTCACTCTAGGAGCGTTCGATTGGCTGGCGGGGCGGCAACATGGTGGCAGTGCTTCGCTGCGGTGTGGCGTGCGGATGGCCATCGCGTTTATCTCTACGGTTGCTGGCGCGCCACTGGCAGTGTTCGGCACCGAGATGTGGGCAGCGGGCGGCGGACTTCGCGCCTGGCTTATGCTTGAGGCGGTCTGCGACAAGCCGAGATGGTTCTTGAGTGCATCGGTGCTTTATTATTTTTATTTGTTCTGCATATCTGCGACCTTCCTGCCCTACTGCCTGCTGAACGGTCGGAGGGTGCACCAGGCCACACGAGAGGCGCTATTGCGGCTGCGGCACCAACATGCTGCTTCTGGTGGTGGCGGTGGCTTCCCTGCGGGCTATGTGTCGCTCTACTTGAGGGACGGGGCCTACTACGTACTGATAGCCACCTGGTCACTGCTGCATTTGGGGGTCTCAGCTGAGCTCTGGAGCCGATTCATCTCGACCTATGTCGTCGCCACACTGCTGGTGGCCGGCTGTGTGAGGAAGCGGCACGCGATGGGCCAGCCGAGTGCGCCCACGGAATGGTGCAGAAGCCTCGCGCCGCTCCTTGTCGGCGTCGCCGCTAATGCCATGTGCAACTTGACCATGTATCTCTTCGCCAAGGCCTTTTCAGCGATGGGTGTAGAGTGCATGTGGCTTAAGGTGGCGGTCAGTGTTGTGCTGGTCGGCTGTTATGGAATCTCCACTTACAAGGCTCAACATGTCATGATCAGGTACGTCAGTAGCCCTGCCTGTGTCTGTCCATGGCCGTTTCACTGCCTGTCTCTGGCCCTCTCTCTCTCTGTGTGATGTGTGTTTGCCTGGCCTGCAGTGCTCCCTCTTATCGGCCCTTCGCGTATCTGCTACCGGGCGCATATGACGGTTACTTCGAGTCACAGAGTGCTGAGCAGAGGGCAACTGACGTGCCTGTGTGATTGACGAGGACATATGCTGATCGACCGATGCTGTCCGTGGGCGGCAGCCTGTGTCGGGGGGAGGGCGAATGGTGTGGTGTATCTGTCTGCTGGTGGGAGGTCATGGGTGACTGACTGGACTGTCTGGCTATGTCCCCCTCTCGCCGTCTCTCCCTCTCTTTCTGCATGTGTGTGTATGTGTAGCTTTATCATGATCATGGCCTTTTATCGTGGTAGATCATGATAGAGACTGTGTATCGTAAGTTTCTGCACTTGTTTTGCCAATGGGTTGGTGCGGTGGGGGGGCGGGTGTATTTACTTGGATGTGTGTATGCCGAGGCACGACAGAAAAATGCACGACATCTGTCTGTACAGTACACGGCCATTCAGGGACGCGCGTGAGTCAGGCAGTCAGTCAGTCAGACAGCTGAGAGAGAGGGAGAGAGAGAGAGAGAGAGCATCCCCGTACGCAGCCATCAATCAGTGTATGGAGACGGAGACAGCAGAGAAAACTCAGTCTGGAAAGATGCGCACGGCAAGTAAGTCAAACTTTTTCCGCTTGCAGCAGCGGTTTCAGGGAGCACCCTAGGGGGCCTGACGGCCAAGTCTCCTTGTGGGTCCACGCAACATGCAGCACGCAGAGGGCAGATGCAGCAAACAGGTGGATGTGGAATGCGCTGCTAAAGACGGCAACATACAAGCAGGCACACAACGTCGCACACACGCCACCCCAGCAACCTGAAGGCGGCGTGCGTGCGTGCGTGGTACACCAAACGCCTTTTCCGCTTGCCCGTGCGAGCTCAATGGCGAATGACAGAGATCGCACCGGGGAGGGCAGACTGTGAGGAAACCACCACCACAGACTGTGAGGATTGTCTGTGATCTGTACCCTCCTCGATGGACGGCATCTCCCAGAGCCTGCTGAGTGGTGGCGAGAAGGCAGCGCACGCGAGCAGCTGCCGGTCGGGTGATGAAGAACAAGCCCGTGCAGCAGCAGAGCGTCAGCAGTCAGCCGGAATGAGAGCGTCGTCGCTTCTCTCCCAGATCTCACTCAAGATCTCAGTTTTCAGCCACGACTGTGACAGCAGCCGAGGAGGCGGGA